TGGGGAAAAAATAAGAACCAAGATACATCATGTACAGGTACAAGCACCCAATGATAAATGTAAATGTATTATTTACCTAAAATATACCAATAAAGGAATTAAGAAAAAAAAAATCAGGACCCTGGAGGAAAGGGAGCATCTTAAAGCAAACGAGAAACTAATGCCACAGGAGACTTGCCAAGCATAGATCTACTTTGCTTTTTTCTTGGCTGCAGGGACAAAGTCAATCTAGCTTTAGCGGCCAATAAACAAGAAAGACTAAGGTGTAGTAGTAAGCACAGGGGACTGAAGCCAGCTGGCGAGAAAGCAGGTCTGCAGTACCCCTTTCTGCCCCACGGTGCCCGGGCAGAGAGGGAGCCTGGGAGGAGGCTGCCATAGGGCCGAGGGTATAGGTAGGCGGGTGCCCTTCCAAGGATGAACTGAGTGGCAGCGTCCTGCCTTTGGGGTGGCCTGGACCAGAGTGAAGCGGCACTCTCCTGTGCCACGTATAAAATATGCAATTAATGTATACAAGTAACAACACTTCCTTTTCTATATTTTAACTTATTAAATTATGACATAACACAAGCCCAAGTTTCATAATTAAATAAGAAAACTTACATGTCTGCCCGGTAACAACAGATGCCTGTCTTCGCAGGCATACACACCTGTAGCTCATCACTGTTGCACAGGTGTGTGTAACAGCTCATCGTGCGTTTCGCTTTGATGGACTGTGTGTCTGGAGCTAGCGCTGCCTGAGCCCCCTTCCCAACACGGCTTGCGATGCCACCCGCCGCGTCTGTGCACAAGCACCATGCAGTGATGAAAAGCATCAGGAGCAGTCACATAATCATGTTAAAAGTGTGAGCTCTTGTAGTGCTGCATTCCTAGCTGTCCAGGGCCCATGCAGCCCGCAGGCTGTGGGCTGGAGCCTGAACTAAAAGATCCCCGCACATGCTCTTCACCACTGAATTCTACCTTTTACTAAAGTCATTGGTTGTGCTCATGAAACCACTGGGTTATGTTTTCACTTTTATTTTCTTCTTAGCTCAGGAGCCCAGAGAACACAGGCAAGACACTTATAAGCACAGCAGCACACAGGAACAGTCAGGACCATAGCAGCCCATGGGCAGTGGCCTGATCCTACCCATAGACAGCCCTCCATCCAGTGTGTTCTCACTCGCTTTCTTCCATGGCATCCCCATGCAACCCGCCCTTG